CTTTTTTTTCGGGACGTACCATTTGTTTTTCGGTTTTATTGTCGGTGTGCCCCAAAAACCCGAAACCTATAGGGGGGGAAAATAGGGGGAAGCCTTTTTCCGCCGGGGACATTCCTTCGTTTTGGGCTTTCAGAGGCTAGCCAAAAATTGTTTTAAACCATCCCGGTACGGCATTTAGTCCCATTTCTTGCCGTCAAAATTATCACAGGTGGTCCGAATTTTGAAAAAATCCCCCAGCCTTGCGTTGGGGGAGATCCGCTTTCCCTCGTTCATCAATGACCGAACCTGAAGCCCCTGTCCCCTAGGTTTTTTGGAGGGGTGGGGATTTAGGGGGGACACTCAAAAAGGGACGTCTACCCTAGCGAGGGGACCTTTTGGGGGGGGGCAAAACCCTTTAGCAGGGATGAAAAAGTGGGCATTTTTCTTCTGTTTCGGGAAATTTTACGGTGAGCAATTTTTTGGTGGTGCTTTTTTCCTTATGTTAGCCAAGTTTGGTTTTTTAATCCTTTAACAGTACAGGGTTTTTTACTGCAAATTGTTTCAGGTTCTCAAAAGAAATTTTTCTGGCACAATTTTCACATTTTTGGGACTTTTTTGTAGCTACGGTTAACCCGTCCCTCAGCGGTAACCCTTCCCCGTTTTTTAAAAGGGGGCCCCTTTTTTATGGTCTGTCCCCCGGGTTTTAATCCAGCTTGGAAAGTTTCCCCCCCCATCGGAAGCATGTGTGCAGCGTGCACTGTTTGGCCGTGGCAGACAAAAACTCCTTGGGGCTTGAGCAACGGTTTGGGGTTTTTACAGGGTTGGTGCATTTGTACGCGCAGGTCAGGTGTTGGGGGTACTGTAGTTGCTGTAAAGTGTGCGGGAAAAGGGGTGGGGGGGCCCTTCTGGCCTCCCAACTGGAAGTGGGCATGGGATAAGGGGAGATGAAACATAGGCTGGAAAATCTCCCTTTTCTAGCAATTCTCACTGGAAACCTTTTAGGGAAGCTACATGTTTTTAATTCAGCTAACCCCTTTTAAAAGTTCTGCGGGTATCTTTGCCTTTGCTTCCTCACAGGACCCTTTTCAGATGGCGTCTCTAACGGGCTACACTCAGTTGTAGCGGCTGTGGGGGATTAAAAGCTTTTTTTTGTCTTTCTATTTCATAGCAAGCAATGTTAGCTTCCAGCAAAAACCTTCGATGTTTTTCTTTCAAACAGGAACTAGTCACCTGATACTTCACTTGGAACCCGTAAGGCTTTTTGTAAACATGCGTGGCTATAGCAGGGGTTTCTTAAAACCCTGTTTGTCCTGGCGCAAAAAAGTAATTTTTGCCCAAACTAAGAGCCATCAGGAAGCTTTGAGGGGGTTTCCCTTTCTATGTTGCTTTTAAGCTAGCGTTTGTAAAAATCGTTGTTTTTTTGGATGGGGGAAAGCAGGAGCTTAAATGTGGGAAAGTTTTTTGGGGTTTTTTCCTTTCCCGTGTGGTAGCTGTACCTAGAAATAGCCCTGATACTGCTCTCATTTTTCCTCAGGTAGGGCCCCTGTTAAGTCCATTTCAATCAAGGCTGGAAAAAAAACGTTTATTTTCTGGGCCCCGTTCACCATTTCCCAAAAAATTTTTAATCTTTGCCCATTTGAGCCGGGTGTGCAGGGGGGGAGAGCGCAGCTCCCCCGAAGATGGGCAGGGGGGTTGGGGTTGGGCGAGAACACTGGGTTTTTCTGCAGTACTTGCTCGTTCCCCCCCCTTGTTGTGGGGTTACAGTTTTCCCTCGATTATGTGATTTTCGGTGTTTCAATATCATGGTCGTTTTCCCTGTCTGTATCTACCAGATATCTCTTATTTTGTCTTTTAATAGCAAAATTCCGAAAGCCGCCATCTTTTAACTTGCAACTTCCCCTTTCAAGGAACATCAAATGTGAGTATCAGTGATTGCGGGATTTTTCTTTAAAAAACTTTCTCGTTTGCCTGATATGTCAAGGAAACACTACTCTAGTAAAAATTTCTTGCGGGTGTGCATTCTCCACACCCTTTTCCCGTAGTTTTCCAAGGCGGTTGCAGTTGACGGCAGGGGGAACCTTTTTTGCGGAGGTTGACTTTTTGAATTAGATGGGCCTTACTTCTCTGATGGTCTCTAACGGGTCAGTTGACACGACTAACCACCAACTTTAGCCCCCCGGAAAACAACATTTCCCCGCAGCCTCCCGGGGGTTATGTAGGGATTTCTGGTCGGGAATTTAGTGACCAGGATGTGGAAGCCGGGACATTTAGCCAACTACGGGGCCTCCAAAAAAGTTAGCCCCCGAAAAAGGGGGGAAAAAAACACAGAGTTTATGCAGTTGTTTCCTCACTGAAAAAATTTTGTTTTAAAAGTTTTAAAAAAAACCACATTTTACAGAAAAACAATCTACAGGAACCGAGTTTTGGTAGGGACAAAAAGTTTTTCAAAGCACAACAGCATAAAACGTTTTCCCTAAAACTATCAAATGTTTCTAAACTTCAAAAACAAAAGTAGCTTTGCTCGTAACCCCTAAATACATTTTCAACCCCCGTCAACAAAGTATTCGAAAAAACCTTATACAAAAACCCCAAATATTATTAAAAACGCACTTTATTCACAATTAGCATAAAAGGCAGCTCTCTCGTACGAGTAATCTTCGCGCAACCAAACGTTTCACTACAACGCACCTAATAACTCCTTCAACTTTAAATCAACTTATCAAAGTTCTAACAAAACCTTAAATTCTGACTGTTAGCAAGTTATTTTAATTAAATTAACTCGTTTTTTTATCAAAACGACCTGAAAAAAGGGGAGAAATAATCACGAAGGATTCAGTTTTTTTCCCCACTGAAACTTTATATAAAGGGAAAAAGACCCGATTTCCCCAAAAAAGTTGGGTTGGGCCAACAATGATCTCAGGGTAAAGATTTTAAAGCTTTAGTAATCACGATTACACTTTTTCCTAAATTAGGCACCACAAAGTAAATATCAAAAAACTTTACAATTCCCTTAAATTTTACCCTTTTTTCATTTACGGTTTTAACACATTTATGAATTTTATCAATCTCTATGAACTAGTACTGGATGCATGATCTTTTTAACCTTAGATATTTTAAGATCCTTACATACCATGAACTTACTAATACTTTTTTAGTGTATAACAGGCTATGAATATGTCCTTTAACCTGTCACAGAGTCACACGATTAATAGGTGTGTGGTCCCCCCACTACGACTTGGGAAACCATGCAGTTTTATTAGTCTACAAGATGAAATAAGTTATGATAAACTTCACTGGGTGATGAAAGTGTACGGTGATGAGCTTGATGCTCGTTTCCAATAAATATCAACGGTCTTATTCTAGTGACATGATGTGATCGATGCTTGACTGGCCGTTTGACTGTAAACTAGCCTACTGCACAGCCTACCCAAACTAGCTGTTGGCTTAGAGCAATGTGCCAAGACCAGAGTAGGAAACATTTGCTATTTAACGCAACAGTTTTTGTGACAAAATGGTAGAGTTGAAAATGCAATGGATATTACATGAACTTTAGATTTGTATTCGGTACATGAAAAAAAAGTACATTTTGTGTGCACTATGTCATCACGCACTGACAATTTGGTGGGAACACACAACTGGTGGGAAAATGTGCATATTTCCTTTATGCAATTTTGAATATTCACATGTAAATCTGTTGCCATTGGATGGAAACCTAGCTAATGACTCAAAGCCGCAGACTCCTGCATCGGAGGTGTGTCAAGTAGTATAACACACATATGTCCCACCTCCACCCCAGGTCCCCAAGCTGCTGTCCATGGAGCCAAGGAAAGGCTCTCTCGTTCCGGGGGAACCAGGGTGACCATCAGGGGGGAGCACCTGGACACTGGATCTCAGGTCAGAGTCAAGGTCAACGGCACCCAGGACTGCACCATCCACGTGAGTCTTACTGTGTGAATTATCATTGTCATCACCTTTGGACTTGTATGTTGCTGTGCTGAATCTGTAGGCTTTGTGATGCGAGTGTTATCCTAAGGGAGACAGTCCACTTGAGTTGTTTGGTTTATATCGTACGGTATTGTTATTTCTTCAGCTGCTGTTCTTGGATGTATTTGTTATGCAAACTGTCTGGGTGTGGTTTTATTATGCTGATTGTGTGGTATTATTGTGTCCTTGTGACTCTGTGTGTGTGTGTGGTGTGTGTGTGTGTGGGTGTGTGTGTGTGGGTGTGTGTGGTGTGTGTGTGTTGGGTGTGTGTGTGTGGGTGTGGTGTGTGTGTGTGTGTGTGTGTGTGTGTGTGCGTGTTCCAGGCTAACCAAAGGACACCATCGGGTGCACCATGCCTGCGGCCCTGCACACACACACTGAGGCGGTGTCAGTGTGTGTGGAGTTTGATGGACATTCCCTGTCAAGCTTGATCACCCAGTACTTATAGAAAACCCCACCATCAGTACTCAAACCCAAAGGACA